ACACAGTTTTTGTCATTTGTGCATTGCGCTGCTTTGTGTCTGGCCAGCTAGGAAGGGGCCCAAAGCCCCGGCTGCTGATGCCCCACGCTGGGAAGGTTCGGCGCGGACTTCTGCAGCCCAGGCGCCTGTTTCTCTCCCTTTCACAGCGTTTGAGAGGCTGCGTGGACAAGAGCCACCCAGGGCCACTTTGTAGCAAGCTCCGCAGACACACATGGCTGTGGCTACACACAGTACAAACCCAGAAGTGTAGCAACAAAAGGCCAGCGAAGCTAATTCACTGAGCTCCCCGAGCCGTCTGCAGCCACCACTTCCAGCCATGTGATCTTACGGGTTGTAAGTGGCTTATGCACACCCCCTGCTCACACCAGGCTGTCGTTTGGAAGCAAGCACTTCCAGCCATGTGATCTTGTGCACACGCTGACGCCAAGCTATCCCCCGGCGCCCTGAGCAACCCCCCCCCCCTACAGCCACCACTTCCAGCCATGTGATCTTGCGGGGGTTGTAAGCAGTTTACACACATGCACACAGAGTTGTGGTCCCGCTGTGCCCCATTGAACCTTCCCCCAGCCCCGCAGCTACTACTTCCGGCCATGTGTTCTTGCTGTGGTTGTAACTGGTTTTTATGCACACACACTGCAACCTGTAGCCAGAGCGTGGGAGAGAGAGGCTGGGGCAATGCACCGCCCCTGTCTTCCCTAGGTCGGCTAGAGTCGGTCCCATGAAGGACCATGAAGGACTGTAGGGGGTGTGTTCGCACCCCCTTCACACACCCTGCATACGGGCCGGTGTAGGAACTAGTTTTACAAACACACACACACTTCAGCTTCCAGCCATGTGATCTTGTGGAGTCACAACTGTGTTTCTTGCACACAGAGTTAGTTATAGCCTCGGGGAAAGAAGACAAGACAGATCAGATTTTGAATTGACAACCTCCCTAGAGATGAAGTCAGTTAAGAACATAAGAGCAGTCAGACTGGGTCAGACCAAAGGTCCATCCAGCCCAGTATCCTGTCGCCCGACAGTGGCCAATACCAGATGCCCCAGAGGGAGGGAACACAACAGGTAATCCTCATGTGGTCCCTCCCCTGTCACCCATTTCCAGACAAACAGAGGCTAGGGATACCCTTCCTACCCATCCTGGCTGATAGCCGTTGATGGACCTAACCTCTATGAATATCTAGCTCTTTTTTTAACTGTGTTAAAGTCTTAGTCTTTATCATATCCTCTGGCAAGGAGTTCCAAAGGTTGACTGTGCACCGAGTGAAGAAAAACTCCCTTTGGTTTGTTTTAAACCTGCTGCCTATCAAAACTTAAGTTAAACAAAAGATTCCAGGCTGCTGAGTGAGACCGGGAAGGAGCCTTGCCTTTTGTAAACAGCGGCATTACGGTTTGCAGCTGGTCCTGACAGCAGGCGTTGAGCGCGTTCATTCTGGGCTGCTCGGTCAGGCTTTCCGCATTCTCTGACTCTGTTTCTGCCTTTCTGCCAGGATCTGTTGGAAGCCGGCGAGTCGAAATGGGGCACAGACGAGGCCCAGTTCATCTACATCCTGGGAAACCGAAGCAAACAGCATCTCCGGCTAGGTGAGCCACTTCCGTCTCCAAAGCACAACGCCCCCTCCTTCCTTCCAGAGCCGCTAGCTGGGTCTTGCCGAGCGTGTGAGGATTGGAGGCCGGCCAGGCTGGGCGCTCGCCATCTGGTGGTCATGCTCGGGGAGGACAATTAAGAGGTGTTTTTCCATGAGAGCTGATGAATTTTGAAGGGGGAGACCGCGGTGCCCAGTGTCCATCTCTGGCGAAATCTTCTGGGCTTTGCTGAGGGAGCCAGGAATGTTCCTTTTCGTCCTCTCAGGCCTCGTGCTACAACGACGTGTTCACCCCCCAGGGCTTTGTTTCTGTGGTCGAGCTGCGTGGCGTTCATGATTGCCATGGGTGCCTCTGTGGGTAGCTCCCCTAAAGGCAGCTGCTGGGTAGCTCATCAGGGAGGCAGCTGCTGGGTAGCTCCCCTAAAGGCAGACTTGCTGTCGGGGGTGACGCGAAAGGGGGCATGAGGGGGCATGTGTACCCCCCAATGGGCCCGGGGGACAGCAGCCGGGAGCAGGGGTTGGGTTGCCTCCCTGTCCCCGCTCCTCCGGCC